GGCTTTTAAGTCTGTAAATGTTTACAGGAACAATCTGGCACGTCTCTCCTCTCTGGAGTGATTGGCAGATTTGAATTGCAAACCTTTTGGTTAACAGACAAGTGCTTAACCACTACACAACCAGGGAATGTTTTGATAAAGATTATAGCCAAAATGATCCCATGGACTTTAATTCTACTTTAGTTCTACTTGGGGGCCATGATAAGAATTGATCCAGTGGCAATGAGTTTGTTTGTTTTTATTTAGTCAGAAATAGCTCCAAATGTCTATTTCCAACCCAAAATGTAAGGGTTCCTTGGGTGATACAGTTAAATGTTTGACTACAAGCCAAAAGGCTGATGGTTTGGACATACTCAGAGGCATATTAGAAAATAGCGTGGAGATCTGCTTCTGAAAAATCAAAGCTTAGGAAACACCATGGAGCATTACTATATACACAGTGATTACCATCAGTTGAGATCTATTTGATAGCAAAAACAACAATTCCAAAACTTTGCTCTGAAGTTTAGACTCCTATGTCTAAACACAGGGAGCTCTGGTAGCCTAGTGGTAAGAAGCTGTGCTGTCATCCCAAAGGCATACTGTTTGAATCTATCAGCTGCTCCATGGGAGAATGATGGGCAATCTCCTCCCACATGATTAACCGCCTCTGAAAACCTGCCAAGAGGATCAGCTATGGGTCTGTTGCAATTGAAGGTACTCAACAACAATCTATCTAATTACAGGGAGCTCTGGTGGCCCAAAGTTAAGAAGCTGTGCTGCAATTCCCAAGGCCCTTGTTTTGAATTCAACAGCTGCTCCATGGGAAAAGAATAGGTCTTCTCCTCCTGTGCAATTCACTGTCTCTGGAAAGTCACTGGATAGTCAGCTATGTGTCAGTTCTGACTTGATAGCACACAACAAAAACAACATAATATATCTAATTACACTACATGGTTTAAAAATGAAGAAAGGTGTGCATCAGAATTATATCCTTTCTCCCTATTTCACCTGTATGCTGAACAAATCATGCAAGAAGCTGTATGATTACAACCTAATATAAAGAAAACAAATATTATCATAACTGGACCAATAAGTAATATCATGTTAAATGGAGAAAAGATAAAAGTTGTAAATAATTTTCTTCAGATTAACAATCAATACCCACAGAAGTTTGTTATTGTTGTTAGGTACCATCAAGAACAGTATGACTCATATCGACCCTGTGAACAACGTATCTCAGTCCTGTCCTATTCTATATCTTCTTCACACTTCCTGATACATTAGAGCCCATTGTGGCAGTCATCATGTCAATCCACTTGGTTGAGGGTCTTTCTCCTCTTTGTTGACAATCCACCATTCCAAGCATCATGTACCTCTATAAGCAACAGCCCCTCCTAGCAACATGCCAGAAGCCTCATCATCCTGGACTCCAAAGAGCACTCTGACTGTACCCTTTCCAAGACATATTTATTTATTTTCTTAGCAGTCCTCTTCTCCAACATCACAGCTCAAAGCCTTCAAGCCTCTGATCCTTATTCATTGTGTAGCTCTCAGGCGCACAGCAAGTGATCGGAAAGACCATGGCCTGAATCAGACACACCTTGATCATCATGATGGATGGAGAAGAGAATGAAATTGCCAACAACTTCATCTTGCTTGGATCCACAATTAACACCCTACGAACCAACAGTCAGGAAATTAGGAGATGTATTACACTGGAAAATCTGTAATTAGGGATCTCTCCAAATTACTGAGGAATAATAATGTCAATTTGAGGACTAAAGTGCCCATAGAAGCATCAGTCAAAAAATAAAACAACTTTTTATTACATTGGACAAGTCTGCTTTTGTTGCTGTTGTTGCTATGTGCTATCGAGTCGCTTGTGACTTATAGTGACCCTGTGTACAACAGCCCTGAACCCTGCTCTATCCTGATTCAAACTCTCTCTGACACACCACCCCATTGCCCCAGTCACTGAGCCAGTCCATCTCATCAAGGGTCTTCCTCTCTGGCACTGTCCCTCCACCCTTCCAAGCATGATATCTCACTCCAAGGACTGTTCCCTCCTTGCAATATGCCCAAAGTATGAAGACAAAGCTTCAAAATCCTTGCCTCCAAGGAGCAGACTGGTTTAACCCTCTACAGGGAGAATCAGTCTGTTCTCCTAGCAGTCCATGATATATTTAGTACTTTTCTCCAGCACCACAACTCAAAGGCATCAATTCTTCTTCTATCATTCTTAGTCATTATCCAGCTTTCTGACCTATAGCAAGTAATTGCAAGAACTATGGCCTGGATCACTTAGACTCCTGACTGACATTGTTGTTGCTCTTCAGTACTTTGGAGAGGTCCCTGACAGTACACTTTCCCAATGCAATTCGTCTTTTGCTTTCCTGTATGCTGGTACCAAGTGTGTTGATTGCGGAGCCAAGCAAACTGAAGCCTTCAACAATCTCAAAGTCTGCTGTACAAGATCTTTTTAAAGGATCAAAAATCAAAGCTGACACTTTGAGGACTAAGATGTGCCTGACCCAAATTATTGTACCTGCAATCGCCTCAAACGCATGCAAAAGGAAGACAATGAGTGAACAATGAAGGCAGTAACAACAAAATCAATGCCTTTAAGGTGTTAGCGAAGAATGCAGACTATATTGTGGACAGAAGAATAAACAAATTAGTCTTGGAAGACACTCAGCCAGTATACTCCTTAGAAGAAAGAAAGTTGAGACTTGTGTCATATACTTTGGGCATTTTAGGTGGTTGTGCTAAAGCAGACGTTCCTTGGGGAAAAAAAAGGAAGGTCTTCAAGGAGTTGGATGCTGAGTGGCTACAACAATGAGTTAAAATATAGCAGTAATTGTGAGAAAGATACACTTCAGAGCCAGTATTTGGTCACTGTGAGTCACAACTCAAGGCAACATAACAAGGTAAGGGAATAAGTCAAGGGAACGTAACAAGGTAAAGGAAGGCTCTTAAACTGGGGATTCCCCCATCATACTGCGTCACTGTTAGACGCTGTTGAGTGTGTTCAACTCATTATGTTTGTTATGTACAACATAGTGAAAACTGCCTCATCTTGCCCTATTCTAGCAAAATGTTACTGTCCCTGAACAGAACGGTGGAGAAGAGGAACAGAGACAGTGAATGTAAGAAGATAAAGAAGGGGGGAGGGGGGAAAGCCAGCAAAGTGTGGGGAGAGAAGAAACTGGGGGAGGAAATTCTGTGAGGAACCTGTTTGGTGGTGGTGTGGGGAAAGAAGGATATACTGGAGGAGAAAAATTCTGTGAGGATCCTATGTTAGCAACCCTTTATTAGATGGTTCAGAGGGACTCTGATCTCACTGTAAACTTAAATGGGATGATTTAATCAAAACCCAAATCAAATACACTACCTTCGAGTTAGCTTAGCTTATGATGATCCTATTAAATACAGTAGAACTGCTACATAGATATATCTTGTCTGTAACTTTTTAATTTTTAATATTTTTTCAATTTTAATTAAAGTTTCCAGAAAAAAAAATACCAACCAAAAAACAGGATTTTTTTTTC